CATCTTCATTTTCACAATTTAGAGAAAAAACTTTTTTTTAACAGAAAATCGTGTACCACAATTCCAACCTTTTTTTGTGAAGCACCAAGGTACATACGCAACAATCCTAAATATTGGCCTCATTTCAAGATAATCCTCATGTATGTATAATAAATTATTTTACTGTTAAATAAGTTATTGATTCTTACTTGCTTAGTTCTCTAACTTTTTGATTATTAAATAGGGGTGTATCGGTGCAATTGATGGAACACATGTGGATGCAGTCATACCAACTGATGAACAACTTGCTTATCGTGGGAGAAAGGGTGAATGCACCCAAAATGTAATGGCAGCATGCTCGTTTGACATGAGATTCACTTTTGTTTGGGCAGCATGGGAAGAATCTGCTCATGATTCTCGTATATTCAGTGAAGCTATCCATAAGCCAAATTTGAAGTTTCCAATGCCTCCCAGTGGTTAGTACACTCTCTCTTCTCCTTTATCTTTCTACTTATCCCTCCTTATATGACAAAAATCCATTAATAGGCAAATACTATGTTGTCGATGTTGGATATTTCAATATGCTTGGGTTTTTGGCTCCTTACAAAGGCACGGTATCATTCAAGTCAATTTCGAAGAGGGCAATGTGCAAGTGGACCAAAAGAATTGTTTAATTACTCTCATTTATTACTAAGAAATGTAATTGAACGTTGCTTTGGAGTATGGAAGTCTCGATGGCCAATTCTTAATAAAAAATGGCTAAGTTTCCTTTCGAAACTCAAAGACTAATTGTCGTTGCTTCGACGGCATTGCAAAATTATATAAGGCAAGAGGCGATAGCGGATGAAGAATTTCAACGTTATGATGAAGATGAAGATTATTTCAGCGATGATGAAGAATTAGACATAGACTCGGAGGATCATTATGGTGAAATTAATGGACTGGTGAATAATCAACTGAATCAGGAAATGAGCATTCTATGTGATGCTATAGCCGATTCTGTGTACCGTGCTACGTGATGTTAACTATCTTTTATGTCTATAATTTTGACTTTTTGATTTATTTTGAATACATTATTGGTTTGATGACGAACTTTAAGACATTAATTATAATTCTTCCAATATTTGTTACATAATGGATTTTTATTTGGTGTTTTATTTTAGTGTCATTTTAAAGCATGTTCGTAATATATGATCTTACACGGGGAAAATTGGTCTAATATATTTTGCATAATTTTATTTTATTTTAAATCATTAATCATATAACATTATATGATTAAATAATGACAAAAAAAAAATTTTGAATATCATTTTGATAAAGATAAAAAAGATGAAAAACTTTAATTATCAATATATTTAAATGGTTCATAGATAATATATATGTCTAAGATCACCATAATATAATATTAAATCATATATAGTAGGTAGGAATTTTTTACGTGTAAAAAATATTATTATTTAAGTAACTAAAACACTTATTTAAAATGAGATTCACCAAACATAAGTGAAAGTTGTGTAAGGACTTTTGTAAATGCACTTAATGAAAAGTCCATTTTTAAGATGGACTTTTGTAGAACAAGTGCTCCCAAACAAAGCCTATGATATTCAAATATCACAAAAATTTTGACATGTGAATGGTAAACACATCATAATATGTTGTGATGGACCTAATAAGAACAAATACATAAATATACTCAAAGCAGAGGTTTAGCATCTAATTAGTGATATTTTG